CCAGCCTGGGCAAATTGGCGAGACCTCATCTCTACAATAAATCAAAAAATTAGCCAGGTGTAGTGGCGTATGCCTATGGTTCCATCTACTTGGAAGGCTGAGGCAGAAGGATCGCCTGAGCCCAGTAAGTCAGGGTTATGACAGGGGTGATTATGCCACTGCATTCTAGCCTGGACAACAGAGTGAGACTCCAGCCAAAAAAAAAAAAATTAAGATACTAGCCAGGCACAATGACTCATGCCTGCAATCCCAGCACTTTGGGAGGCAGAGGTGAGGGATTGCCTGAGTTCAGGGGTTCAAGACCAGCCTGGGCAACTTGGTGAGACCTCATCTCTACAACAAATCAAAAACTTAGCCGGGCATGGTGGCACATGCCTATGGTTCCAGCTACTTGGAAGTCTGAGGCGGAAGGATCACCTGAGCCCAGCAGGTGGAGGCTGTGATGGCCATGAGCGTGCCACTGAACTCCAGTTTGGGCGACAGAGTGAGACGCCAACTAAAAAAATTAATTAAATAAATAAATTAAAGAAAGAAACAAGAACTGTTCATGTATTTTGTGTTCACACAGATTTCCAAGACAGGAAAGGAAATCAAGGAGTACGTGGAGGCCCAAGCAGGAAGCGACCCTCTTCTCAAAGGTGTCCCCGAGGACAAGAACCCCTTCAAGGAGAAAGGTGGTTGTCTGATAAGCTGACAGCACCGTGCCCCACCCCGAGTGTCTGCCTTCCTCAGCCAGGACCAAGAATCCCAGGACACCCAGGGACCCAGGGAACTTCACCTTCTTTCATCACAGAATGAGTAAAGATACCTGAACGAATACATTGTGAATCTGTCCCCCAGCCCCACTTCCTTCCTTTCTTTCTTTTTTTTTTTGAGTTGGAATCTCACTCTGTCACCCAGGCTGGAGTGCAGTGGCATGCTCACAGCCACCGCAGCCTCAACCTGCTGGGCTCAGGTGATCCTTCTGCCTTAGCCTTCCAAGTAGCCGGAACTACAGTCATGTGCCACCATGCCCAGCTAATGTTTGGATTTATTGTAAAGACAAGGCAAAGTTGCCAAGGCTGGTCTTGAACCCATGGGCTCAGGCAATCTTCTCACCTCGGCCTCCCAAAGTGCTGGGATTATAGGCGTGAGCCACTGTGCCTGGTCTAACCCCCACTTTCAAGTTTTTCCTCCCGTTACCTCCCCCATACGCTGAGTCCCTGCTGACCCCACTGGGGAACACCCTAAGGAGAGCGTGGCCGGCAGAGCAGTGGGCCCCGTGGGTGGCAGATGTGAAGAACCTGCCACACTCTGAGCTCCCAGAGAGCCGCCTCAGGAAGCACTCATTCCTCCCTAGAAGCTCTCCGTCTTTCCCTCCCCTGTCCTCCTAGGAATAACACATTTTCATACCAGAGATGTTTAGGTCAGGGACCCAGGCCAGGGGAAAGGTCTCCTCCCATCTCATGTCTCACCCTGTGTCCTCTTCCTAGTCCCTGAGATCACCCCAGGCGGCCTGATGACAGAGGAGTTTGTGGCGTTCTGACTTCATGACGTATTTGATATTGCTGGGTGTGTGCTAGTGCCAGGCACCACGGATGCAAGAGAGAGCAGGACCAACATGGCTCTTGTTTTGGGCAATTTAGTAGAGAAGAGAGGGAAAAATTTACAACTGAGTCCAACGCTACAAACAGCAAGGCCAGGGCAGTGTAGGAGCGACAGCAGAGACACGTGCAAGGCAGGAACCGGGTCCATGAACAGAGCCTGGGGAGGGAGGTTGGGACTGAGCCTGGAAGGTCCTTTCTTTTTTGTAGATTTTTGTTTTGTTTTGTTTTTGAGTTCAGGCTGGAGTGCAGTGGCATGATCACTGCTCACCACAGTCTCAACCTCATGGGCTCAGGCGATCCTTCTGCCTCAGCCTCCAGTAGATGGGACTACGGATGTTTGCCACCATGCCCAGCCAGGTTTTTTATTTTTTATTTTTTGAGTCAGAGTCTCATTTTCTCACCCAGGCTGGAGGTCCTTTCTGTGAACTCAGCTAGAAACTTTCTTCTTCATTTTCAGGGTAGCAGGAAGCCTAGGCGGGTGTTTAAGTAGCCATGGGACAGGCTTTGATGAACAGAGGGGTGGTTGGACCCTGCTGAAGGCTAGGGATGCAGTGATGGGTGAGACGGACTCCTGGGCCTTGGCAAGGAAGGGAGAGTCTGAAGGAGTCACAAACAACCAACACTCAAGATGCCACGCGCTCAATGCCACATCAGAGAGGTCTGCGTGGGCTGTGACGGGAGCCCAGAGGAGGGCTTCCTGGGCCCGCTGAGTCCTGGGAGGGAAGGCAGGAAAGGTCTTTAAAAACGTCTCGAGCAGGGGGTGGTATCTGGCAGTGAGCCCTCAAGGGTGCTGTTGTAAATGGGTAGATGGATGGGTGTGAATGGTGGTTGAAGGACAAGTAGATACAGAGGCAGAGGCTGGGCGTGGAGGTTCACACTTGTAATCTCAGCACTTCGGGAGGCCAAGATGGGAGGCCAAGATGCTTGAATCCAGGAGTTCAAGACCAGCCTGGGCAACATCACAAGACCTCATCTCTACAAAAAAATAATAAAAAAAAATAAACACACACACACACACACACACACACACACATACACGGGCATAGATACGAGGGAAAAAAGAGCCATGGTTGGAATGGGAGCACCACTCAGGTTGGGGTGGGAATGTCAATGTCAAGAGCGAGGCCTAGGTCCTTAGGTTATGCTGTTAGAGAGGGCTTGGGGGTGACCAGAGATGTCTCGTTCACTGAACTAAACCAACGTATTTGCTGGGAGTGACTTGGTCATGGTAAAAGGCAATGTGCTGCCCACAAGGTTGACTGGGGAAAGAGTGGGAACAAGGAGGCAGTTCTGGGGGTGATTGCTCCATGGAGAGAGGTGGGAGGCTTGAATTCGGGCAGAGGTCACGTCTGGGGTTGGGGGACGCATTGAAGACTTCTTTGGGAAATAAGGTTCTCAGATCTTGACATTTCTTTGAGCAATGGGTGAGGGAGAGTGAGTTGTCAAGGATGACATCCAAGTTTCTGGCTTGGGGGACTTACTAGCTAGGATTGAAAGCGAGTCTCTAACATAACACAGTGATCCTACATACTGCTGCAGATTCAGCTTCCCTTCCCAGCAGGCCACATCCCAAAGGCTCGGAAAGCATGAGGTTGTGGGACCGCTGTGCTCAGAATCTAGGATAGTGGGTAAATATTCCAAATGGCTCCAGCAGTAAGAAAGGGAAAATAAACTGGGCTCGGTGACTCAGCCTGTAATCCTGCGCCTTTGGGAGACTGAGGTGAGTGGATTGCCTGAGGCCGCGGGTTCGAGACCCGCCTGGGCAGCGAGACCTCATCTCTACAATAAATCAAATAATCAGCCGGGCGTGGTAGCGCGCACCTGTAATTCTGGCTACTCTCAAGGCTGAGGCGGAAGGATTGCCGGAGCCCAGCACGTCGAGGCTGCAGTGGCCGGGAGCGGCCACTGCACTCCAGTCTGGGCTACAGAGTGAGACTCCAACTCAAAAAAAAAAAAAAAGAAAGGGAAAATAGTCAGGCATGGTGGCTCACGCCTGTAATCTCAGCACTTTGGGGGGCTGAAGCAGAAGGGTCGCTTGAGCACAGGAGTTCGAGGCCAGCCTGGACAACATAGTGAGGCCCTGATTCTCCAGTCGTTTGGCTGTGGCTTCCTTCTTCCACCTACATGTTCCTCGTTCTCCTACCTTTAAGACAGAATCTCACTGTTTGGGGTCCTTGGTCCAGGCAGGTGACTATAACTTTTATTCCCAAGGTAGAGTAGCAGTTTCTTTTTTTTTTGAGTTGGAGTCTCACTCTGTTGCCCAGGCTGGAGTACAGTGGCACACTCATGGCCACCACAGCCTTGACCTGCTGGGGTCAGATGATCCTTCTGCTTCAGTCTTCCAAGTAGCTGGAACTACAGGCATGTGCTACCACGCTCAGCTTATTTTTCTTTTTCTTTTCTTTTTTTTTTTTTGAGTTGGAGTCTCACTCTGTCGCCCAGACCGGAATGCAGTGGCCGCTCCAGGCCACCGCAGCCTCGACCTGCTGAGCTCCAGTGATCCTTCTGCCTCAGCCTTCCAAGTAGTTGGAACTACAGGCACGCGCTACCACGCCCAGCTAGTTTTTGATTTATTGTACAGATGAGGTCTCGCCAAGTTGCCCAGGCGGGTCTCGAACCCGCGGGCTCAGGCAATCCACTCACCTCAGCCTCCCAAAGGCGCGGCATTACAGGTTGAGCCACCGAGCCCGGCTTGGCTTATTTTTCAATTTATCGTAGAGGCGAGGTCTCACCAAGTTGCCCAGGCTGAACTCATACCCCTGAGCTCAGGTAATCCTCCCAAAGTGCTGGGATTACAGGCTTGAGCCATCGCGCCCGGCAGTTTCTTTAGTTCCTTTCCTTGGGGCATTGTGCCCAGGTGTCCTCTAGCTCCTTTCATACATTTCCTGGACACCCCTGAGTCTCAAGGTCATCATCGATCCTCTTTTTTGTCTGTTCCCCCCCCCCAAATATAGAGATGGAGTCTCACTATATTGCCCAGACTGGTCTCGAACTCAAGTAATCCTCCTGCCTTGGTCTCCCAAAGTTCTGGGATTACAGGCATGAGCCACTGCGCCCGGCCCTCCATCTGTTAGTTTAATGCCGTAAGGAGCCTCAAATGACTAGAGATCTCAGCTTCTACTTCAAAGGAATGATGACGTTGCATCCTGTGACAGCGTTCCTTTCTTGCACACCAGATCCTCACACCACCCAGCTAGGAGCACAATGATCATTCTGAGAGCGGGTCATGGACGCCATCTGAGCATCGAGCCCTGCCCGCCTCTACCCCACAGATCCTTGGGATTTTAGCCATGAAAGAGAAGCACTGTGGGTTGTTCCTGGTTTTATTGGGAACACAGCCCGCAGCCTCTTTGATAGCACTTTGTCTTGGCAGAGTAGTGTCTCCTACTGGGCACTACCCTGTGTCTTTACCAGATGAGCATGTTACTCTGTAAAGCCACCTGCTTCCAGAGGAAAGACACATGGTGGGACTGGCAAGTCCTGTTGACATTAGCCCCTTGCTTTACTTTTTTTCCCCCTCAGTAGTGTTGTTGTTGGTGGTGGTGTTGAGTCAGGGTCTCACTCTGTTACCCAGGCCGGAGTGCAATCACAGTTTACCACAGCCTCGACCCTCTGGGCTCAGGTGATCCTTCCACCTCAGCCTCCCAAGTAGCTGGAATTATACCATAACCACACCTGGCTAATTTTTTTATTTTGTAGAGACGAGTTCTCCCTGTGTTGCCCAGGCTGGTCTCAAACTCCTGAACTCAAGCAATCTTTTCACCTCAGCCTCCCAAAGTGCTGGGATTACAGGTGTGAGCCACTGATTATTTGGAAATAATCTGAGATTTACAGAAGAGTCACAAAGATAATACAGAGAGTTCCTATATACCCTTCACCTAACTTTTTCTAATGTTAACCTCTTATAGAACGCTGGTACTATTATTAAAATTAAAAAATTCTCATTGGCACAATACTGCTAACTGAACTCTAGACTTTAGTTGGATTTCCCTAGCTTTTCTACTAAAGTCCTTTTTCTGTTCCAAAACCCACATTACTGTTAATGCTAAGCCTTCTTTTGCTAGGAAGGGCTTCCTGGTTAGAATAGCCTGGTCTAGGAAACTATAGC